CAAGTCCTCACTGCTCAGATTAGTGCCCTTATTAGGAGCCGAACGTATAAAAATCACTAAAAAAAAAAAAAAAAACTATTGGGATTCCAAAAGGTCACGTGACTCTCGCGGTATATATAGTCACTTGGGGGAAAAATAACACAGGCCTTGTAGGTGCAATTCTGTTTTTATATCTTTTACACGTTTAACGATTGTAATACGATAAAAGCCTTTCAATAACATATTTTTGAGGCGATGACAATACCTTAGCTATTTTTTCCCAACTCAATTAGTCTTTTGCAGCTTAAAACTTTCCTTTGAAAGTGTGAAAACGCACATTTAACCTTACCAAAATCCTGTTTGTTTTCCTATATATAGTCGGGATTGGGAGAACTTTGTACAGGTTAAATGTGTGTTTTCGCACTTTCAAAAGAAAGTTTTAAGCTGCAAAAGACTAATTGAGTTGGAAAAAAACAGCCTAAGTATTGTCATCTCCTCAAAAATATGTTATTGAAAGGCTTTTATCGTATTACACTCGTTGAACGTGTAAAAAAAATGAAAATATAATTGTACCTACAAGGCCTGTGTGATTTTTCCCCCAAGTGACTATAGATATCACGAGAGTCACGTGACCTTTTGGAATCCCAATAGATAAGATGAACGTTAGATAAGTAGTGCATTCTTCAAAATTTGGTGAAAGGATGGTAATGCCCCCCTTTATTAAATCTTAAGTTACTAAAACCTTGGCTTCTAATGTATATTATTGTGAAAAAACGAATAGCAAAGCTGCTGTAGGCAATCTTCTTATATGGGGAGAGTTTATTTTTTTGGAGGCTGATTTTCAGTTAGAAGATAAATTCTAATCTTGCCACAAATGGCACTTTTTAGACAACATTAAAAACATGTTTTGGTCTAGATTGCGGCTGGAATAGGGTAATGACCTCATAACTCTTATTAAACACCAACAAAACTCTTTACCAAAATGAAATATGATAAAAATATTTTAGATCTCCATGAATCATAACATTTTCCTAATCTCTGTGGAAATTGTGACTGGTTTTAACTTTTGACTACCTTTGGGCGTCAGCTTTTGATCTAAGACGATGCAGGGGTCTGATGACTGATCACGACACTTTGATACATCCTGATACTGTTTGATGTATCGCGAAACTCTCACTCTCATTGGTTTGTCTAGTGATCCTCTGGTTTGTTCAAAAGAACCTGACCAACCAAAGAGCTATTTTAAACGGTATTAATCTGTATTCAAGTGTCACCATTAGACCGCTATACAACCATGAATGCATAGAGGCAAGTTGCTTATGAAATAAAAACTTGAAATTTGTATAACTACTGTTAGTTCCAAACATCATTTAAAAAAAAACTAATAGTGCTTCTTCCACTTAAGAAAGAGAAATCACATGATACGTGAAATAAATGTCTCGAGAAACTAAAGGTTATATTTACTTTTAAACTTAGTATACCCTGCCTTCAATGATCAGGTGAGATCTCAGTCAGCTAAGAAATCACCTGATCATTAAAGACAGAGTACATTAACACATTAACCATTGATCTACTGTCAAAAAGCCAAATTAAATTTATGTGGTTAAAATATTGTGAATAAAGTTTGATAATAACAGGATATTTCGTCATCAAAAATTGGAAATTGTTGTTCATATTAAAACAGAAAATTTTTTGTCTGATGCTTACATACTATAGTCAGTTTTTTCAATTCAACGATAGAGAAAGATTCATATTATGTGTTAAGGTAACCAAGCTGATGTGAAAAAAAAATTAGCATTAGGTATTTTATTTACTCAAACCTTAAATCTTCAAAACGACCTGTATTGATACATTTTTCTTCGACTGATGCCAGTACAAGATGACCACATATTTAATTTGATTCGTTAATTTCTCACTTGAGATGGCACCAAATTAATAATTTATTTACTTAGTATTATGTATATTTAAGTTTATTTATCTCTATATGTATTTTCTGATTTTCTTAACGAAGCCGTATTAGTACCAGTTGTTGATGAATTTATTGTCAATGATGTATTATTAGTAATAAATGAACTTTAACAAAAATTTCTTCAAAGATTTTGCGTTGGTATTAAATCATCCTGAAAGGTATACGATTATATTGCGAATATGCCTGCACTGCGTGTGATGGTGTTGAATATATGTGACAATGAGAGAAAAAGTAATACAGGCCTTGTGGGAAAAATTAAGTTTTTATTTTTTTTTGTGGTGGAAAAGGTGCAGAACATAAAAAGTTTCCGGAGTACATATTTTTGACATTGTAAGAGTTAGGTTCTTATTTCTTTTATATGATGAAATTGTTTATTAAGGCCGAAAATATATTTTTAAAAGTACGAAGTGCAGTTTAACTTAAATCAAGCTGCTTGTAAACCTCTGAGCAGGCACAACAGCGACAGCAGCAGCAGAAACAAGTAGCTCAATGTAGGGTTAACTCTACTTCGTACCTTCAAAACGCTGTTTACGGCCTTAAATAACGATTTTTTTGTGTGAAAAAAATAAAACCTAACTCTCATAATGTTAGCAATATGTAATCCAAAAACTTTTTGTATTCAACACCTTTTCCACTACGAAAAAAAATAATAACTTCATTTCTTCCATATGGCCTGTACTACTTTTCCTCTCATTGTCATACATAAATAGCCATTGTTGGACAATGCTGCAATACTTGGATAAGTTGGAAAGCAGTACTTGGAAAATACTTATTCAAACGATTTTACAGTTGTATAAATGATGATAAGTCGCAAGTACCTATTAAAACTAAAGTATACATTTAGATAAATACCTTATAACGAAAAAAGGTTAACGAAGGTGATGAATAATAACAAATTTATTACTTGAAATTCGTAAATAAAATTTTTTTTTTTTCCAAAAATAATTTATTAAATACAAGATGAATCCTTCAGGGTACATTTTGGTTTTCAACATTTTTAATTGTGTGGAATCACACTTCTCCTTCTTGATTTGAATTTTCTTTTGCAGGTACTGCATCTCTTTAATCGCAAACGAATTATCCAACTCAATTAAGTTCCTATCTTGGTTCTCACTCAGTTTTTTCAATTGTTCTATCAGTGAGATAGTGTAAAACCAATTTTACTGATTTTTTTAGTTTTGTTAGTTGAGATTTATTTTTAATAAGATAATAATTTTTCTTACTTCTCTTTTTTGTTTTTGTTGTATGACCTCCACGTTTGTTCTTTTCCATTCTTTTAATCTTTTTTTTAAACATTTTTCCTCTTTTCAGAACCCATACTTCGTTTTCTGTATTTACAGTGAATCGGAGACTAACTTTTCAAAATGTTGAAAAAATAATTTTCTTAAAGCGGTGCACCCCATAACAACAAACTGATTAGTACAGTGTTTTTTTTACAAAGTACTGCACTTTTTATACACTTTTGTTTAAAAAATTCGCGTAAAAGATTAACTACGTTAAAAGGTAAACAATTTTGATTGTATGTCTATGTACTGGCTACGACGTTTTTGTGCCTATGACCTGAAGTTGGACAAGAGCTCCACGTTTGTCGAACTACTGCGAAATCGTGAGGTGTACTTGGACAGCTAATTATCAATTATAAAAATTTTTTTGTGTCCACGATTACATTAGAAATATTGTTAATTAATGTAAAAGTTGTAAAATAATACCATACAGCATGCATACAAATGCATTGGACTGATTTCAACGAGCATTACCTATTATCAAAATCATAGAAAACGGAGAAAAATTATCGTACTCTTATGGCGCCTAAGGTGAAAGTTAGAATCGTTCGCTTGTATTAAATTTTTCTAAAATTTATTAAAAATTTAAGTATATCATAAATAATAATCATAGCTTTACTAATCAATTACATTTTTTAAAATATCTCTTTTTACTTGCTGCAATGACTGATTTTTCACTGTCTTAATATCGGTCTGAATTTTAGTTTTGTCCAAGTATTGGGCGTTATACCTCATGTGCAAGATTAGTTTGAACAAATTTATGAAAATCCTTTACAAATAGTAATAACTGATCATTTCAAAGCTTCTTTTACAGAATTAAAAAATATAAAGGTGGGCAACTTAAAAATTGAGAACAATCTTGAGTGAGCAATTAACAGCTAAATCTTTTGTCAACTTGTACTTTCGTCACAAACAAGAATGTGACCAATACACGTCTTTGCGGAGACTTTAAATTTAAGCGAATAAAATCCGCAATGCCGCATTACTTATTAAAATAAATTTATTTACTTTAGCAATGAATAGAGAACTTTTTTATTTTTGAATTGAACAAAACTGTCCACCACCATGTCAGACTTTGACAAAGAATTTGCTGATTTACGAGTAACAAACAATTTTTCATTACAAAATATTCTGTGAATGTGAAACATTATTTTTAATAGTTGTTTGAGCAGTTTAAAGAATATATATTACTTTCATATAACGTACACATAACAGTCTTTATCTTTGTTTGATTCTCCTTAGTTATTCACGTATAACAAACGTCAATATATCTGTACGATTATTTAAAAATGTACTTTGTCATGTAAATACAATAATCATCACAGTGACAATAACACTTTTCAAGAAGCGTTGGACTTAGATTTTTCCTCAGACTTAGATTTAAAAAATTGTTTTTACTAAAAAAATTATAAATTTCTTGCCTTGCTACTCTTCTTAAAGTTAGTAAATTCAGTATAAATATTTTCTCTAAGTTTTTAGTAAATATTCATTACACTCGAAAAATTGATTTTTTTTTTTTTGTATCTTCGTAAACGTTAATTTATATATTTATAAACACACTTTGTTTTAGTAATATACGATAAAAATAAAATTTGTTACTTGCCAACACGGGGTGGTTTCGGTTAGTTATATGTAAGTGTTATTCCTTTTCATTTAACAGTCCAAAAACTCATTTTATCAGTGTAAAAAGTATGTAAATACTTAGATATTTATTGTATGGAAAACGATAACCCAAATTGAGTCTCTTTAAAAGTATAACTTAATTACAGAAGTACCCAGTATGCACTCCAGTAGCAGTTTGTCCGAACCTGGACCTAGTAGTTCTCACAAACTATCAGTCTATGACACAACTCAAGAAGGTTATGATTACAAATAATACCATAATTATAACAATACGTCACAAGGTGTAAATAATTATAATATTTCTTTTAATTTTAGTTACAAATGAAGATGTTTATAACGACAGTGATGATGAAAACACAATTACAGCTAGACGGTAATGAGAAACTTGATGTATATTTTTCTGTTTTTTTAAGTTAAATATTTAGAATAATCACCTTGAATTTTTTAATAGAGGAATCAATGCTATTGAGACAGAAATGGATGAAGCCACGAAAAATGCTTGCTCCATTCAAGTTCCTCAAAGCTTTGAAGAAAGTTGCTCATCTGGTTTGACTGTAAAACAAAAATACATGGGCCATCGCAATGCCAGGTGGGATTAATTTCACTATTATTAAAAAAATGTTGGTCAGTGTATTCATAATTTTTAGCCCATTTTTTATTTTTTTAAACTCATTACATTCTAATATTTTGAAACCCAAAAAATCAAAAACTTCCATACATTATTCAATTAAGAAGCAGCTATTTTAACTCCACTGCCTAGATAATGAGTTGCGTTGTACCTTATCGATAACCATGAAAAACACATGGTAGATAGCAATTTAGTCAAAATCAGATATGAATCCAAGTTTTTAATTTCCTGACAAAATGGGATGAATTGGGTTATCTGACTTTTCAACCTTCCTCTAAACAACTCTTAGAACACGTTGGAACTGTCGCACCCAAGTTTAAGAGTCTGACTCATTAAATTTAATAAGCAGATGTACTAAACTCCAAAGGTACCAACAACAAAATTTTCTTTCAATTCATCTCTTAATAGTGAAATAGGCATTATCTAAGAGGCCTTTGAGGTTTTTATCATAAAAAACCTTATTTATAAAGAGAATTGATGAAATACTAAATAAGAAATACCTAAATAAAAATATAAGATGGCTTGGGTTGTTGGTGTTAAGTTAAGGGCTGTGTGGGGTCCTTATGAAATAAATGCTTTATGTCCGTTAGTTTTTTTTATAAATATACTTTTTTAGTAAAAACTATGTACAAGATAATTAAATTGCCAGAAGAAGCCTTAAAAATATGTGGGATGGAAGTGGATTTTACATGTTACTTCTCCCTCGCCCCGCCTCGCTCTGAGAACCCCAAACCAGTCCTCTCCACACTATATCACACCACGCCTCTACAGCACAGCATAGCTCACATTTCAAATTTTATTGGATTTTTTTTCTTTTTCTTTAACCAATTTCAAAAAAAAAAACAAGAAAAAAAAACGACTTCTCAAGACTTAAACTCGCGATCTCCTGCATACAAGCTGAAGCTCTTACCTACTGTCCTACAAGCGGTCCCGACATTATAAACTCGATAACTTCTTATTATTTTGCGTACTGTAACTTTTTTTTCAGTGTAAATATTCATTTATCGTTTATTAATTTATTTGGTTTGATTTATAAGTAAATTATTCATTTGATAAAATAAATTTTTTAGTTAAATAACTTTTTTACCCTCAAAAATCAGTATACTGTAATACAGCAGTGTAACGTCGCTAAACTAAAATTACTAATAATTTTTTTCTTCGCTCGTTTCTTCGAAATTTTCTATGTTGACTTGAAAGTACTGTCGAACAGGGACCAACGTGTAATTCAAAAGAGATGAATTACCTGCAAATTATATTCGTAGCTGCAGCACATCGACCAACTACGATTTTAGCAAACACACGTGGGCCTATACTGACCGGAAACGAAAAGCAAATAAGATTATAAAATACTTTTTAATACAGAGAAATAAAATAACTTTAAAAACTAATAGAGGCAAAAAGTGTAACTGGGAACAGCTAAACTGGGGTGCAATACTAAATGCTGGCACAACTTGATAAGATGTTAAAAGTTAGAATAACGTAGAGTTAATGCATTTAGACAAATAATAATACATACTACAGTAAACCTAACAGAGCGACATTATTAACTTTTCGATCGTTTTAATACATGAACTACTCTCTTATACCATACAACTTTTTCGCAATAGCCTAATTTTTGTAATTTTGACACATGTTGTTACTCTTAAGAATTTAAAGGAAAGCGGAAAAGTTGAGCCAATAATTGACATTAGCTCCTTCCCTTCTTCCTGACTCAGACATGTCGAGAGAGAGTTTGTAGGGCCGCTCCAATATAAGTAACAGAATTTTCAAATCCCCAGGGCACCACGTTCCAACATCCTCTCCAAAGAATAAGCAAAAGGGAAAATGAGAATTGATCCCACTACTAACATTTCGAAATATATTCGTAGCTAACAATAAATTAAAATGACAGGCAAGCTTAGTTAAGTTAGCAAACAATGGGTCACAACGAACACCTAATTAGTATTTGGACCACAACTACAGCCACTTCAGACATAAAAGGTTGGACCGCTGTTAACAATTACCCTTTCTCGAATATCAACTTGTTTGATTAATGTATTTGGCAACCTTAGCAACTATTATAGTTATAAACGTATAAAAACTACTATCACTAAACCTGTTATTAATATAGGAACAATCAATTTTTGAAAGACAGAACTAGAGCATCTCGACTCGACGATAACCCTTCAAAGTAGCCTGAGTAGTAAGAATCCGCCTCTGCTACAACCCAGTCTACTGCGAAGCGAGGCACAGACACAGTCTTAATTTCACCCTCGAAAGGTTGACTAGGTAGCTAGAGTCCGTCTCTGCTATCCGACGGTCCTCCACGAGTGCGATTTCAAAAGTTTTAACCTCGGACACTTCGGGCCGGCTCTCCGCGTGTTCATTCTAATACTTAAAATAAAAGTAAGTTTTTCCTAAGTATTAAAATAGTTCACTGTGTTTTTTTCTTTTGCCGCGAAGTCTGCATAATTGCCTATTATGGCATCGATAAGTTCTAAAATCGCGAGAATAAGTAATCGAGTGTTTTTCGTGAATCTAGAGCAATCACATTTACTCCGGATGGTATTGGTGGCTCACAGATCGGTCGCGAACTCAAACTATTTTTCCCCTTGCGTAACCTCTAGGGCGTAACTACCTTTAACCTCTAGATCGCGGACGGGACACTAGTTTGATACCATCGCGTCGGTATTCCTGACGAATCAGAGGCGCGCCACGAACGAGTGACAACCGCTTCAATTAGGATAGTCGGGCTTTCCCTTCCCCCCTTTCAGGACGCCCTATCAAGAGATTTAGCTACCTTTTAGCCCCGTGTCCCACCTACGTGCCCAGTGTGAATCCCGAGTTATTAAGTGCAAGCTTAGACTCGAATAATACGTCGCGCCAATGCAACAGCAGCTTTTTGTGTATTAATAAACTTTATTTGTTTCTGACTAAATTTTTACTTTAACAATAAATAAAGGATCGTGAATACAGTTTTAAATAATTTTTTTCTCAATATTGAAAAATTTTTTTTGTATAAATACAATAGTTGATTATTCTGAGTTTTATTCTTTCACAATTTTTCTTTTAGTGTTTTAAGTGATTTTTTAACTTAAGGAATTCTATCACAGCTAACGGGAGAAAAGTTCAGAAAGCTGAGAGGAGCACGAATGTATGCAGCAACTTTGCCAATTATTTATTCTCATACATCGCTGAAAGTACGACTTCGCTCCCCGTTTTTAGGGAGCAAAGTGGAACATTATTCCCAGGTAAAAAATCGCACGTACTGCTCGTAGAAAAAGTATTTTGATATCCTTTGCACAATTCTCTCACAAAAGATGCCAAAATACCTTTCCTAATAAGCAATGAATGCGATTTTTAATACAGAGGTTGTGTTGCATTTTTCTCCCTGAAATCATGCAAAAACGTCGTATTTTTAGCAAAAGACAAGAAAAAGTCGTATACAGGCCTTAGGAAAAAAGTACGGAATCATTTCCCGGACATTTGCCACCCAGGAGAGAATGTCTTTCTTTCTTTCCTTGGTGCCTTATATACTTTTTCTTACATAGATGTACTTGCATTCAAGCTTTTACACATACTCTACCCCTTTTTTACTGTGTTATTTATAAAATAATTTTTGGATCTGTTTGAAAATTTAATAGGTTTATCTAAACGTAATCTTTGAACGAACAAAAATTAGGAGATTTCTATGGATCATACAACTGCAATCTTTCGTGATTTTTCCATAAGTTGGAATGTTAAACTGCGATTTTTTTAAATAAATATTAAAAAAAGGGTTGTGGAAACTTAAAAACGATGTGCGATTTTTTCGGGTATTTTTTATGTTATTTCAATATACATTTGAAGTTTTAATAACATATGGTACGACAAAATAGTTTTTTTTATCCTTTTTATTTTGGGTACTAAATATTGACTAGAAATCAGTGTATAAGCGTGACATTAGAGATTAAATCAGCGTAGGTGGTAGGAAATATTTTTGATATCATCAGAAGATTTAATGGTAGCGCTTATTCTTGTACTGACCAGCCTATATATTGCTTATATTGTATTGTGCAATAATACATTGTTTATAATTTTTTATTTATTTATTATTAAAATA